ATGTGTGTGCTTAATAAGTGAAGTAATCCATCCTACTGATTAACCAAAGCATAATGGTTTTGTTTAATCACTACAAAAATCAAACACTGATTTTATCACCATTGATGCTCATATCCTCATATAGCTTGCCCTCATGCCCCTATACACAAACATTCAAATTCCACAACACAAAAAAAATCAGTAATGGGCTTAATGGGTTAAGAACTTAATGGTTTCATAGCAAAGAAAGATGAGACCTTTTATGAAGACGTGCGATTATTTGGTGGGCCCAGTTGGAGTGGGTGTTTCCAGATGTTGCAGATGAACTGGTTGTGGAAGAAGACTGCATTTAATCTTCAACTCTTCAAATATTTTCTTCAACTCTAAAACCAGTTCACTTCTTCGCTTATTCTTTTCACCATAATCTTGAAAGTTAATTGTGTGATTAATAATAAGTGCCACCTTTATCATGTTCACATTTTCTATCTCCTTCACCACAAAATTGTGATTCGCATACCATAACTGAGGGTTCTTCTCCAAATACCTGATGTTATAATTCACATATTAATTTCTTTTTTATTACAACATTATATGCTGTGTATGAACTTACTTTTTTATCTTGTCTTTTAATAGCCCAATCTTCTCAAAGGGTGTTGCAAAATCGATAGAAAATTCCACCTTATCCCCCATATCTGGGCTTCTATAGAAATTGCTAATGGGCTTTGTAGCCAAAACCGAATTTGGATAATATATCTTCTCATTATCAAATTTCAAGAACACTGTGTTTAAGATATTCATCTCTTCAACTACCATCTGTTGAAAATAACAAATAACCAATCATTTAAATGCAACAAATTCAATTATAATATACCATAACATGTCCATTTCATACCTGAACACCATCAATGACACAACGATCTCCAACATCAAATGGATGCATCATGAAAACAAACACAATAGCTTCAAAAACGGTTTTGCAAGTGTTCCCAAATATAAAAGCAGCCACAACAAGCTGTGAAGAGAGGAAGACAAGTATTTTGGTTGTAGCAATCTCTGTTAAAAGGAGCCAAATAATTATGATTATAACAACTAAGACTGCTGTAACAAGCTTGTTCAATTCATTAACAGCTGTTTTCGTGTCATCTAATGCATGTGCTAAAGCTTTTCTCCCATTGTAAACCTTCACCTACACATAATAAGTAACAACACACTTCCTTAACATCAATGTCAATCAGAAATTACTCAAAATTTTTACTTTTTATCATTTTCAACTATATGAAGGAGACAAGGAGTCTTACCACCCATTCTGTTAAAGTCTTCCTATCAATTTGACCTTTTTCAGCCACATCGATCATTGGAAACACAATATCTACCTCTTCCTTGATCATGAATCTCCTTAGATCAATATCTTCAATGTATCTACAAGGAGATAATGTAATATTCAGAGTTGTTTAAAGAAAATTAAGACATATAAAGATGTTCTTACGTAAAACCAGGCTGAGCAACATTTCTAAAGATATGATAAGCAGCAGCAATGGCTTCCATCTCACTAGTAATCTCTTTGTCTGCAGATCCAATTCCTTCTCCATAATAAGCACTTTCTTCAAGTTCACCAGAGAAAGTTGAGAGCCCTGAATTTGATATTGTGTCAACCAACATCTTCATAGTCCAAGCTGACACTTTTTCTCTCTTCATTTGATGAAGCTTACTTACATCTATCACCTCTTTTTTTGTCTTTTTATCTTTCCCGTTCTTCTTTACTTGTAAACTAAATTGACTTTTACTAGTGGAGGCCCCAACGTTTTGTAATGATTCCATAACTGGAGGCCCTGAAAGGGTGTGGAGAACATACTGAAGAAAGATTGATTCTTGAATTCTATCAAAGAAATTGCTGACATGGAATGAAGTTGCAAGAATCTTGAGCAAGAAAGTTTTTAAAAGCCACAAGATTGAACCCACTAATAAGGCAACAATGGTCCAAGTCAAGTAATCCAAAACCTTGGCTGCATTTTTTGATCTTCCAACATGTTTGCTATTAAACAGTGATGTCCAAGTAACAAGAACTACAATCAACCATATGCACACTTGAACACTCTTTTTTAATCCGTGTACAAAGTATAACACCTTCTTTCTCAACAAGAAGTTCAGTTCTATCAGCAATACAATGAAATGCATAAGCCAATTGGTGACTAACATACCACAAATGATCACTGTTATAAGCACAAACCACTTCCATAACTCCAAGCTCCATATCTTGTAAATTTTCAACTTGGGAATCATTAAGCTAGCAACTATACAACCCACAAGAAAAAGCAATACTACCCATTGAAATAGTACTTTCAGCTTCACCCTTTTAAGCTTTAACTGCTTTCGTATGTTAACCTTCTTATAAATCTCTTCCTCATTATCACTCTCATCTCCCCCTGCACCTCCAGGTGATGCCATTAATGGAGTCTTTGGTGTTATGGACAAAGTTCTTGGTGTAGCAGCTGGAGAAGCAGTAGTATTGCCTGCCACTCTAGGGGAGGCTCGAGCTGATATCCTCATGGGCGAGTTTGAGGCCTGGCCTACTGGTTCATGCATTTCATCGAACATATTGTGATCAATTAAAGGTTGTTCACCGAACCTTGATTTGGGCTTGGAGTAAATCGATCTTGCTAAGGTTTTTCGCCTGGTTAGGGTTTCAGGATTGGGGATTTTAGGAGGCCTGTTAGGGCTTGGCATGAAATATGCATTTTCAGGATATGAATCAACAGACTTTCTATGAGGTGATTCGGGAACACCTCTCGGTTTTGCATCTCTCGGTGCTCCAAAGGTCGCATGTTTCGCTTCTTTCTCTTCTCCGGGGATTGTTAGGACCACTTCGCCGCTTTTGTTCTCCGTCATGCTGATCTCCCCTGTTTTTGAGGTTTTACCATTTGCATCCATTCACAGTCAAAAACCTAGAAATTACAGTACACACTGTCACCATCTGAGTTCAATCAATTACCATTTGTAGCTAATAAACATAAAAATAACAGCTAATGCTTCCAGGATTTGGTCCAAAAGACCAAAACTCACTTACGAGTTACGAACTTCCCAGTGATAAATAACAGAAGAACAATGAAGGTGATAATGGTTAAATACAGAAATGAATCAACAGAAGAGATGTTTAAACTAAAAGTTGAAGCAACTTTGAGGTTGACTTCAGTATTAAGATGAGAATGAGAGGTAGATAAAAGTCACTCTGTAGTCTGTACGAACATTTAGTCATAAATGGTAGGAAAAGTTAAATCGAAGTGATTAAACAAAGACAGAAAAAGACTAAACATATAAACAAACGTCTTTCTGTAGAGAAAATAATTGAACTTACGCAGACAGCCTGCCGCCTGACAAGCACATACACATGCAAAATGCTACTGGAAGAACTTCTGATTCCTGAATGACAACTTGAAGGAGATAACGCCGGAAAAAGAAACACGTTGATTTTTGGTGGCCGTGGAAACGCAGGCGGCGGAGAGAGGGTCACTCAGAGAGGAGACAAAGATGTCGAGAGACGATCTGTAGGTCCATGAAAAAGGGTGCTGCTCAACTTTTTAAAATGAGGACTTCCCTTAAATTTTTTGCAGCACAAGATATTAGATTAGATATAGGAATATATAAAGTATTTTATATCGTGTCATTAGTTTATGTTCTCTTTGTCTTTTAATGTCTAATATTCTATAGTTTTTTTTTATTTTATTAAAAATAGAGATAGAGATTATTATGATATTATCAATACAACTATTTTTGGCTGTGACACTTATATAATATTAATAAGATACCATGTGTAACAATCCGATCATTAAAGAAAAAAAAAAAGAATATTGAAGTAATAAAATAAGGAAAATAAGTTATATCTGATGTTTTTTAATCTTACTTTACTTTTAGAAAAAAAAAAGGACAATATTTATGAAAAACAGTAAAACAGTATCTTAGTCATTTATTGCTTACATGTGATACATGTTTGTGCAAATTATTGAGTTTGTCTTATATCATACAGTGATAAATATAATTTTGGTATCAAATATCTTGATTAGAAATAAAACAAACGTTCATAATCCTTAGCTCCTATATATAATTTAATTGGTTTAAACCCATGAAAACCGTGGGTAAAATAGAAAAAATAATATTCATAATTCGAAATTGTAATGAATAATTAAATATTTATAAAAAATTTATTAATATACAAAAATAAAAGTTTGTCCGTATGTTTATAATTTTGTTCTAAAATAAATATATACATCGTTTTGAATACCCAATTCACATTTTATAACGTTAGATGTTTGATAAAATCATGAATTTATACGAAACAATATACAGATCATGATACATTTATTGATCTGTAGTAAACATAAGAATATAAGAATATCATATCTAAGAAAGATCAACTACAACCTACTATTACTATTACTATTAGTAGAAAATGATAATATACAAAATTTTAAAAAACCAATTCAAATAGCTAACTTCTGGTCATAAATATAAAAATAGATTAAATTTTATTTAAATTAATAGGAATTAGTAAATTATAATTTTAGTTATATTTTATGAAACGATTACCGTTATATGTATTTTTTATTAAGTAATACTAAATAAGTAATTGATAACTTATGAGTGAAAAAACTAAAATTATATTATAATTGTATTTGTGAAAAATTAGATAAAGAGAAAAAGAAAAAAAATATCAAGTTGGTACTCATGGGATATGAAAGAGGAGCCAAAGATTGAACCAAAATCTCAAGTTGGTACTCGAACTTGAAGGTCGGCTAATGGTAAGGGATGAATCAGGCGGCGTCGACAACTTATTGAGTGCGTGAGTGAAGTTTCAGTGACACATCCGACGGTGGATGTGTTTTACGCTTTCAAAATCAAGAAATGTAAGTAAGTGTCAGAAAAGGAGGTAGTAGAGACGGAAATGCAATCAGTCTGTTGATGATTCTGAAACCATTGACAAATCTGGCTGAGTTGTGGTATCTGGCAGTGCGTTATTTTTGGGTGAGCCACTACTTTTACGGAATGATGATAGTTTAATCCATGGTTTACTAAATTTTAAAAAAATTGGTAAATAAGGTTTATATTAGTATACTTTGATGGGTTTGTTTTAGACACATATATATTCAAATGTGGACCATGCAAAGGAAAGTGGCAACATATTGAAGGAAACAGAGACTGAGTCATGAAGAGCCGAAAATGTTAAACATTTAAGAAAAATACTTCATTTAGAGTCAGTCTAAATGAAGAGCCGCCACAATGAGGATCACTGATGGCCGCCCTGCCAAGGCGGAAGCTCTTGTGGTGAAGAGCCGCACATTTCAGTTGACTACCGAGGAGGCTTGAGCAGCGCCAGACGTCGTGGCTGGTATGTAATCTATTTTTTATCTATTGATATTTATTTGT